TATCTGATATAAGGAAAGAAATCCCTTCTTGTTTATACAATCCATATGAGTTATATGTTTTTTCCCATCTTTTTACCTTCCAGTCTATGGCTGTCTTTGCCTATAAGGTGAATCTTTTGGAGACAGCATATTGTTGGATCTTGTTTTTTAATCTGATCTGCCAGTCTTTGTCTTTTGATTGATGAGTTTAGGCTATTAACATTTAAGGTTATTATTGAAATATGATTTGTATTCCTGGTCATTTTGGTTTATTTCTAGTTTTTAATTTGAATTAGTGTCTCCTTTGATTGACTATTCCTTTAGTGTAGTTCCTTCCTTCTTCTTCTGATTTACTTTTGTTTATCATAGAAGGTTTTTATTTCATCTTCAAATCTGAAGCTTAATTTTGTTGGATATAGGATTCTTGGTTGGCATCCATTTTCTTTCAGAGCTATGTTATTTCAGGACCTCCTAGTTTTGAGGGTCTGTGTTGAAAAATCAGCTGAGATCCAATTAGTTTCCCCCATATGTAATTTAATTTTTTTTCTTGCAACCTTTAAAATTCTCCCTATTCCTTATGCTAGGCATTGTCATTGCAATGTGCCTTGGTGTGGGTCTGTTGTAATTTTGTACATTTAGGGTCGTATTAGCCTCTTGTGTTTGGTTTTCCATGTCATTCTTTAGATTTGGGAAATTTTCTGATCTTATTTCATTGAAAAGATTGTGCATTCTTTTAATGTGTATCTTCATGCCTTCATCTATCCTGATAAATCTTACTTGGTCTTTTCATGTTATCCCATATTTCTTGGAAGTTCTGTTCATGGTTTCTTAACATCTTCTCTCCATGGTCACTGCTATTTTCAAGATTATATATTTTGTCTTTATTGCCTGAGGTTCTGTCTTCCAAGTGGTCTAGTCTGTTGGTGAATTGAGTTTTTAATTTGGCTTATTGTTTCATTCATTTTGAGGATTTCTGCTTTTTTTCCCCCACAGGATCTCTCTCTGCCTCTTTATTGAATTGATCTTTCATTTCCTGTATTTCTTCTCTGATTGCATTCCTTATACTATCCTTTCCTTTGCAGATCAGTTTAACTATGTACATTTTGAACTCTTTCTCTGGTGTTTCTTCCAGATTGATGGAATTGGTTATTGGAGTATCTTGGTTTGTTTGGGGTAAATTTTTTCCTTGCTTTTTCATGTTGTTTATATGTCTACCCATGTATCAGAGTGGATCTGAGGCAGTAGAGTTTCCACTCTGTTGGAAGTATAGTGTCCCTGAAGTTTTCCAGTATCTCACTGTTTAGGGGGAGACAAATAATCACAACAATGCAAACAATATGCAGCATTAAACCAAATAGTTCCTACTATGACATCTACAATGTTAATTATCACAATAAACAGAAATGATACGATCAGTTATTGCCTACTATATAGCAACTTTGCAAAAGCTTTTAGAATTTCAGATGATGGACAGGGAGAGACCAGAGTTTTTTAGGATGTGATAATTATGAGGGAGGAGGAGAGAAGACAGAGTAAAAGATAAAAGGAAGAGTGAAAGAGAGAACAATGGGGATTGTCTAATGGAAGAAAAGAGACAATCAAGGAAATAGGTAGGAGATTATATACATTATATATATATATATATATATATATATATATATATATATATATATATATATATATATATATATACACATACATATATATATATATATATACACACACACACACACATATATGATAAATTAAAAATAAAAATAAGAGAGTACAAAACTAAAATATACTAATCAAACATCGTAGGTCACAAAAAAAAACTAATCCATGAAATGTAACTGGCTTCAGAGATGCTAGAGATGAAGAAAAAAAATGTGAAAATGTATAAATGTCCATGTACCATCAAGGTCACAATTAAATGGAGAAAAATAATTAAAGAAAAAAATCTTAACAAAAAATTTAACAGTTCTTTCCATTGTTGAGAATGTTCAAAACATTCTCAGCTTCTCTTCTCAGCAGTTTTAGGTGGGGTTTTCTGGAGTGTGATGCTCCACCCTCTGGATTACTGAAGTGAGAGAGGTAATCCTGTAGATGGAATTCCAGGAGGCAGGATTTAGGTTTAGGTGGGCTGCAGGCTCTTTGCTGAATGCCAGTTGGTCTGGAGGTTTTAAATCAGCACACCTCCAGTGCCCAGCACTTGCTGGTCCATGCTAGAAGACTGTACCTCAGGGGAAATCCACTTGTGTGGTGGGGAGACAATTTTTAGTCCCCCATGTCACCCACAAACCCCACCTTTCCTGGTTTCAAGTTTAGAGAAACAATCTCTCCCACCAGTACCATTGCGAGTTCCAGGCTAGATATGTCTCTTCCAGCAGGTCCTGCAAGCAGTTGGATTGGAGAGGGAGGGGAAGAGCCAGGTAGGTTTCCATGACCAGTTGTCTCCCATATAAATCTGTCTCCCGGTTTGATTTTCTCCTGGTCACTTAAGCACACTATGTTGTGCAGAATGTGTTTACTGGGCTTATATTTTGGGCCAGACTCAGATTTGCCAAGGATGGGCTTCCTCAGCTGCTGGACCCCGCACCACAGCTGCAAAATGGGTTCCTTCCTTTGTCCTCTGCATGTCCTTTAGAGAGATGGCAGCTTCTTTCTCTGCCCATAGATATCACACAGTGTTTTTTTCAGGCTTATTGGGCTGTGCTCTTGATCTCTAAACACTCTGTATCCAGACACATCTTGGGCTTCCCAAAAATGCAAATTTCTCTAATTCTCTTATCCTTCTACTATGCTCACAGAGGGACCACCCTGGCAGGTGCTTCCAAGCCCCCAGCCAAGGCAGCAGCTACGCTGCTGGGGATTTTTTTCCTTTTTTATTATAGCCAACCTCCTCTGTCCCTGGTCCACTTTGAATGTCTAGTTTTAAGTTCCAGTAAAATCTCTCCATACAACCCCCCTGCTTTTTTTTTGTTCTCTTACCTTGTAAAGAAGCTGCCTGTCTACTTTCTTGGTTTCATGGCATGGAGCAGCCAGGAATGAGACCTCCTCTATTCTGCCATCTTGAAAAACTCCAGATTAGGGTTTTAATGAGCCAGTTCCACAGAGTTGTGAAAGCCAGAGTCCAGGAGCTCCTGGGCTGGTCTAGGGGATGAGGAAAATGGTAGTCCTAGGCTTCTTGTGTTGTCTAATGTAAGAAAAAAGGTATTAATAGCGTCATTCTGAATGGTCTCAAGGCCTATGATGGTAAGACAATGATTATATGGGAGATTAAAGTTTTGTAGATTCTTTCCAGGTGCATGCCAGTTTGGGATACCCCTCATTATGTTAGGTATTCTCTAAATGTAGCTACAGTAAAGGGTAGAAGAGCATTTGCATGGAATTCTGGGGCTCACCCTTCATTTCTGTTATGAAGTATAGTTAGTGAAGGAACTGTCATATCCAGAGTAAAATTAAGATATCGTGTCCAATTAAAATTTTTAATTTAATTAAATTAAATTAAAAAGAAGAATGCCAAATATATAAAACTCTGATTGGTGCTAGTCAGTATCATTGATAAAATTCAGAATTAATTCTAAAGCTGAGTATTTATTTAAGAACTGTTTTGTAAAAAGTTTAGTAAGTAACATACACTTATTATAAAATTTAAAATAACGCTGATCCCCAGCCCTAGCCACCATAAACCCAGGAGAAAATTGTAAAAAAAATTGGCCTGGGGTTGTGGGTTAGTGGTAGAACACTTGCCTTACATGTATGAGGCACTGGGTTAAATTCTCAGCACTACATATAAAATAAATGAATAAGACAATAACTTAAAAAATTAAAAAAGAAAATTAAAAAAATCAAAATCCCCTAAACTCCCCCAAAATTCATTCCTTAAAGGATGTCACTCAACAGTTTACTGTGAATTCTCTTATCACTTATTATATTTTTATACCAGACACCTTACTGACTGTACTACACTTAAAAAAAAAAAAAAAAGAGGAATATTATTGTCTTAGTCTTTTTGGGCTCCTGTTATAGATACATAAGGTGTATGGCTTATAAACAACAGAAATTTATTTCTGCCAGTTGGGGACTGGGAAGTTTCTGGTGAGGCTTCATTTCTTGGTTCATGGATTGTGCATTCTTGCTCTGTCTTCACATGGTGGACTGGGCAAACAAGTTCCTTCCCAACTTAACCATGGCATGATTTCATTCGTTTGAACTCTGCCCGCTTACCTCCCACAGTCCTATCACTTTGGGAATTAGATGTCAACATATGAATTTTGAGGACACAGACATTCAATTCAGTCCATATAATCACTGTATTTCGGTAAATTGTTTGATTAGAAAGAGTGTGATTGTTTCCGGGATGAAGTTATTATAAGCATGAACATTTATTTATTTATTTATTTATTGTGTACCAGGGATTGAACCTAAGGGTGCTAAGCCACATCCCCAGACCTTTTTATTTTTTATTTTGAGATAGGGTCTTGCTAAATTGCTTAGGGCCTCACTTAAGTTGCTGAGGCTGGCTTTGAATTTATAATCCTCTTGCCTCAGCCTTCCAAATTGCTGGGATTATAGGCCTACACCACCAAGCACCACTTGATTGTGTTTTTAAGTCAAGCCAGCTGAGACAATTCATAGACTCAGAACAAAGAAAAATGTACCTGGGGGCTGGGGCTGTAGCTCAGTGGCAGAGCTCTTCTTGCCTTGCATGTGGGAGGTACTTGGTTCGATCCTCAGCACCACATAAAAAAAATACACAAATAAAATAAAGGCATGCTGTCCATCTACAATTACAAAAAAAAAAAAAGGATATTCTTTGAATAATTTAGTTTAATTGGTGTAGGGAAGAATATTAAGGTAATTCTATTGTATGCAGAGGCACTATTTTAAAAATATTTTAATATAGAAATAATTCCTTAGCGTCAACTTGGAATAGGAAATCCACTTCTTAAGGTCCTACATATGTCTTAATAAAACACATCAGACTTGTGGGATATATGATAATTCATTATACTAAACTTTTTTTTTTTTTCTTGAAGGCTTCCAGACAGGCTGCAGGAATTCCAGGGATTACTCCAACTGAAGAAAAGTGAGTAATTATTTCTTTTGGAATAAATTTATTTTGGAGTAAACTTATTTTTGGAATAAACTTTTTGGAATCAACTTATTTTTGGTATCAAAAGTAAACCAGGGTCTGAGGTTGAGGCTCAGTGGTAGGGCATTTGCCTCGCATGCCTGAGGCACTAGGTTCGATTCTTAGCACGACATTAAAAAAAAAAAAAAAAGATAAATAAAGATATTGTGTTCATCTATAACTAAAAAAATATATAGTAAAAAGTAAACCATATTTTTGGATTATTCATCTTATTCGCTTCCTTTATTTGCTTTAACTTTAACTGTTGACATAGACCTAAACTTTGTTAAGAGCTGAAAGGAGGGCTTTGTAAATCAGAAACATTAATTGCTTTCACTACTCCTTGCCAGAAAAAGCTGACAATAGGACAAGATAGAAGGAAAGAAGAAAAAAATTGCCATAATTGATCTGATTTCATCAGCCTATTATGATGTCCACTGCTATCTCAGGACAAGGTGCTATAGTAGTTGGGTAGTTCTCCAGAATGTGTCACCTGTTCGTTGTGTGACATTCTTATTTGCATTGAAGAGTAATTCCCATACAAATCCATTTTTAAATATACCTATAGAAATATAACAAGAGGGCAAATGTAATTGAGTTTTGGATTTTGCAGTAATTTGAATTTCACAAACATAACCTCATCTGTTTATGTAGTTAATTCAGAATCAAGTATGGTTTTTCTGATTTTTTTCCAAGTTAAATTGATGGATGACTTTGTTAAATTTTACTCTTTTATCAGAGATGGTAATCTTCCAGATATAGTGAACAATGGAAGTTTACACGAGTTCCTGGTTGGTTTGCATGAGAGATATGGGCCTGTGGTTTCTTTCTGGTTTGGCAGGCGTCTTGTGGTTAGTTTGGGCACTGTGGATGTACTGAAGCAGCATATCAACCCCAATAAGACATGTAAGTTAAAAGTCTATTAGTTGATCCTTATCTTTTAAGAATAAATGTTTATGAAGAAGTATACGTTATTCTTAGGTAGGATTAGCTAATATTTAGTGAATGTTTTATACTGTGTACTAGTCATTGTGCTGAAATCTTTATTACACACTTAAAACTCAGTATTGTAAAAGTGTATTTTTTTCTTTTATTTATAGATATACACAATAAAATGTAAATTATTGTAGGATCTTTTGGTGGTTCAGAAAATAATGAAAAGTTTCTTCACAGCAAAAGAAATAATTAAGAATGTGAAGAGAAAACCTACAGAATGGGAGAAAATCTTTGTTGGCTACTCTTTTGATTGAGGATTAAAATCCAGAATACGTAAAGAACTCAAAAAGTGTAATATCAAATAAGAAAACAACCCAATGAATAAATGTATAAATGAACTAAACAGACATTCTTAAAAGAAGAAATACAGATGGCCAATAAATATATGAGAAAATGTTCATCATCATTAGCAATTAGAGAAATGCAAAACTACACTGAGATTTCATCTCACGCCAGTTAGAATGGCACTCATCAAGAACATAAACAATAAGAAATGCTAGTGAGGATGTGGAGAAAAAGAACTTTTACACTGTTGGTGATATTGTAAATTAGCACAACCACTATGGAAATCAGTATGGAGGTTCCTCCAAAGACTAGGAATGGAACCACCATATGATTCAGCAATAGCACTCCTTGATACTTATCCTAAAAAATTTGAGTCAGCATACTATAGCAACATATACATACAGATGTTTATAGCAGTACAGTTTACCAGCCTAGGGTGTCCATCAATGGATGAATGGATAAAGAAAATGTGGTCTATCTACACAATAGCATAAAGAAGAATGAAATTATGTCATTGGCTTGAAAATAGATGGAACTTGAGAACGTTAAGTGAAATAAGCCAGAATCAGAAAGTCAGGGGTCACATATTTCTCTCATATGTGCAGGCTAGGGAGGACAAAAGAAAAAGAAAGGTTGTGAGGGATCTTATGAAAGTTGAAGGGAGATTAGTGGAGTAAAGGAAAAGGACCAGGGGAAGGGAGGAGGTGAAGGAAAGGGAAAATACTGTGGAATGATATTGGCCAAATTATTATATTATGTACATGAATAAATATATATCAGGCCCATGATTGTATACAATTATAATGTACCAATAAAAATGTGGAAAAAATAATTCCAGATTAAATGCTTTATATTGGGATGGGGAGTTACTGGGTGCATCTGGAAGTGTAAAATTTACATGAGCAGCCAGGATAAATCTAAAAAAGATATTAACAAAGAAAAACTTTGTACTATCAGATAGTATAGTATATAGTAAAGCCATATTAATTTAAAGAATTTTGTTCTGTGATAGGGTTAGACAGATTAATGGGGTAGAGGAGGTAATTCATAAGCAAATAAGACAAACCAAGTACAAAGGATAAAGGTAGCATTTTGTAACAAAAAATAACGGGTCATAAATGTTTTTGGGAATCTGATTAGCTAGTTGACTCTTGAACTGTTCACATTTTGGAAAGATTGTTAAAGAAGTGTGAAAAAAATTGTTGTACTCTGGGCTATCATCCCTTGCTTCCCTATTTCTGTATTTTTTTTGCTAGACATATTTGTTGGGTTTTTATTTTGAGGTGATTATTTTTATTTAAAAATAATCTCTCTGTTTCAGTGGACCCTTTTGAAACCATGCTAAAGTCGTTATTGAAATACCAATCTGGCAATGGGAGTGGAAGTGAAAACCACCTGAGGAAAAAATTGTATGAAAATGGTGTGACTAAGTCTCTGCAGAGTAATTTTGCTCTCCTGCTGAAGGTAAGGTGCCCTGTAGTTTGGTCTGATGTTCTGCAATGTAGAGAATAGTGAATTTTTAAACTGTTGGTGTGCCCTGACTTTGCCACTCTTTTTTCACCTGTTTTTCTAAGCTGATTTTTATTCTCCTGAGATTTTAAAACAAAACCAACAAAAGAACACATGCCCACCAAAAAACCCCACAAAACAAACATCTGAACATCTAGACTCAGTGTGTAAGTCAGAGTGATGGGAACAGAGAGACTATATGAAGTTTTATCCATTTTTCCATTGTTTTTAGGCCAGCTTCTAAAGCCAGTGTTTGCTAAAACATGATCTGAAATCACTTAAAACAATCCCTTAAAAAAAGAAAGAAAGAAAGAATTTATGGCATTTGCCAGTCACTGGATAGAAATGGAGAATATATTGATAAATGAAATTAGCCAAACTCAAAAGTCAAATGTTTTCTCTCATATGTGGAAGCTAGAGTAAAATAAAGAAAAGGGGGAGGGAAGTGTAGGATAATATAAAGAAGCAATCAAATATAAATTAATAGACAAGTGAAAGGAAGTCTAATACAGTAGAGGAAAGTTCCAAAGTCTGAGAACCAGAATAGTAATCCATAGCATTTTACTTTTGTCACTCAAGATCTTGCTGAGCAGTGTGTTATCTGACATTTCTCTGAATTTCCACAGGACTCTTCCAAACCTTAACCCTTATTTTAGTACTGCCAGTCATACCCAACCCCTTGCTTGCCGTAGATTTCTTGCTTTACTGAGATGAGAGCCCCTAACATTTGGACTCCTTCAGCGTCCTATTCCCCACCAATAGACTGTAGTCATCTCAGTCCTTTTTTTGTTTGTGGTGCTGGGGATTGAACCCAGGGCCTTGTGCATGTGAGGCAGGCACTCTACCAACTGAGCTCTACCCCTAGCCTATCTCAGTCCTTTGTTCCATCTGATCTTAAACCATAAGAAATCCTCCCCTCCCCCCAGTGCTAAGGATTGAATCCTGAGCCTCACATATGCCAGGCAAGCACTTTACCACTAAGCTGTGCCCTCAACCCAAAGAATCCTTTTTCTTTTCCATCTATGCCTTCTTTAATTAATATAATTTATAAAAGTATTGTTTGGTTACTGTAATAAACATGGAAAATCTAACATAAAGAAGTTACCCATGGGCCTGGGGTTGTGGCTCAGCAGTAGAGCACTCGCCTCGCATGTCCAAGACCCTGTGTTCGATCCTCAGCACCACATAAAAATCAATAAAGGTATTGTGTCCAACTACAACTAAAAAATAAATATTAAAAAAAAGAAGTTACCCATAATTTCACTATATCACAATATATGAATATTAATATATTTTTGAGATCATACTATATACATAAGTTCACATACTTTTTATTTCAAAACATACCATAAGCATTTTTTAATTTCATTAACATTTTTCCAAAATAACTTTAAAATTGTTTTTTATTATAGTTATTTTATAAAATATGGTACATTTTAGATGAATCCAAAGGAAAAAATAGCATTTTTAATACTATTCATCATCCAGTAATAACCATGTTTAACATTTTTTAATACTTTATAATGTTCCAGTGTTTTCTTTGCACAATAGAATTTTAGTGTAATCAGCATAATACTATATGAATAAACTCTGCATTTTAAATTTACAATTGTATTATAAATTTTTGATGATAATCTTATTTGAAAATCACATTTGAGAAGAATAATTTGACCTCCTTATTATCTTCAAATTGGTCTAGTCTTCATCAACACTGCTACTGCTGTAGCTTAAATTTTCATAATTTTTTTTTTTTAACTTGAATTGGTTGGTCCTCTCCTTTCTTTGTGGCTCCCTCTCCCCATCTGTTTTCCATCCTCTGCAGGGGTTCTTTTTTTTTTTTTTTTTTTTAAGATGTCGATAGACACAATACCTTTATTTATTTTTATGTGGTGCTGAAGATCGACCCCAGTGCCTCACACTTGCTAGGCAAGTGCTCTACCACTGAGTTACAACCCCAGCCCTCTGCAGAGGTTCTTTTTATGACATGAACTCCTGGTGATTTAGTGAAACCTTTGGACTTCACTCAGAATAATTTTTTCTCCCTGCCCTGCTCCCCGTGCTGAGCATGTAGTATGCTGGGCAAATGCTCCACAATTGAGTTGCATCCTCAGCCCTGAGAATAACATTTTAAAATACTTAGCTACAAAGGAAACCAATGCAGTCATCAAAGTGTTATTTTTTTAAATACTTGTAATCTTATAATATACATGCATCATTATTAATATATTAAATAACATGTAAGTGCTTCTAAAAACTTCTGTGACTTTAAAGTAGTATGTTGTGAGGCATAAAACCATGAATTTGAGATTTTTATAATAACTATAATACAATGTTTAAGTATTTTGAGATTTGTATTGGTTAAAAAATCAAAGGGCTTATAATCATAATTGAGGAAAAGATAAATTTTATGTAAGAGATTAGAGAAAAATTAATTTTCCCCTCATCTAAATTCGTGGACCCATGGATTCTATGTATAGACCCTTTGGTAGCTGTAGATTCTGAGTCTAGAACCCTTTAGAATAGAAACATTCAAAATACACCTCCTACTATTCCCTTCACAAAAATCTTCAGTTTTCTCTGTGTTCTTGGGAAAAACTCCAGAGTTTTTAATGTAGTTTTGGAGAGTATGTATAGTTTGCATGCCTACCTTTCCAGCCTCGTTTCCTGCATCCTCTTTTGTGTGTATACTTTAGCCGTACTTGCCTTTTATTTCTTCAGACATATCTTTTTCTCTTCTTCAGGCCCTCTGTATATTCTGTTTCCATGGCCTGGAATGTCTCCCTCATCATCCACACATCTAGTTAATGCATGTGCATTCTTCAGGTCCTAGTTTATTTATTTACTTATTTTTGGTACTAGGGATTGAACCCAGGGGCACTTTACCACTAAACTACACACTGTCCCTTTTTCCATTTTTTATTTTGAGACACTGTCTCAAAATAACAGTAAGTTGCTGAGGCCAGCCTCAAACTTGGGATACTCCTGCCTTAGCCTCCTGAGTCTCGGGGATTACTGTGCCCAGCCAGGTCCTACTTTCTTCTTCTTCTTCTTCTTTTTTTTTAACATTTATTTTTTAGTTTTAATGGACACAATATCTTTATTTTATTACTATGTGGTGCTGAGGATTGAACCCAGTGCCTCATACGTGCTAGATGAGCACTGTACTCCTAAGCCACAACCCCAGCCCCCAGGTTCTACTTTAAATGTCACTTTCCCAAAGAAGCTGTCTCTGATCATCCCACCATCCCTTTTCAGGTGCTATCGTGACACACTGTCTTTCTTTCACATCATTTTTCCCTGTTTGTATTGTGTGTATGTGAGAGGTGGGCTCAGAATTTAACCCAGGGCCTTATGCATGTCCAGCAAGTGCTCTACCACTGGGAAACATTCCCAGTCTGATTTGTAATTCTTTTAATGTATCACTGAAGTTTGTGTTTCTTGAAAGCGGGGACTATTCTGATTACTACTGTATATTTGACTTTTGGTGTAGAGCAGGCTCTTAGTAAATGTCTATTAAATCACTGACTAAACACTGGTCAGTTTAAAGTTCCTCAGTTCTTTAACTCTTCTTTTAACTTCCATGGGTCTATTCTCTTATTTTCTTCTCTGAAACATTTTTCCAAACCCTCCCTGGCTAACTCTACTCAAACCTCCAGTGTAGTTAAGTATATTCTCCCTGTGTACCCTCTCTAAACTTCCATAACAACCCAGGTATACTTACATAGCAAGAGTAATCAATTTTCTCCTCTTTCTCTCCCATCTTAGATTATTTTCCTAATCTTATACTTGAAACAAAGCTTTTTATTGTTGTATATTTAATGTAGCTTTTTGGAAAGATAGCATTATTGTATAATGAAAGACTGTTAAGCCTGGGCATCAGGTAGCAGAGGCTTTGCGCCTTGCTATTATTTGGTATCTGCATGATCTTTATGCATACTTGACCCTTGTGGGCTAAGAACATCCACATTACAAATCATGGTGGGGATTCTATGAGATAATCATGTACAACACCTAACAACAGGTCCGAGGACCTAGTAACCATTCAATACCTTTCCTTGCCTTTTGTGTGACAAGTAGTTTTTCCTGTTGTGTATTTGCTGGCTGCCTCCCCTCCACATTCTTCTGTTCTATGAACATTTCTCCTTGCTTATATTTTTTCTGATCCTCTGAAATGACACCTCTTTATCAAAGTTTCCAACTCAGGTAGTATGTTTTCCTCTTTCATGCAGAATTGTTAGTGTCTCATTTGGAGGGTTATATTGAAGTTTGTGTTCTATAGAGATTGAACCTACATTTACTCAAAAATGTACAAACACACCCAACTTGTTTTCACATTATATAGATTAGTAAATTTTTCAGTATTGGAAAATTTTGAAGAAGCAAAAACAGAGAGACTGGCATAATGACCATTCATGTGCTCATCACCAAACTTTAATAGTTATTAATTTTCATTCAGTGTTACTTTATTTATACCCATACTTATCCTGTCTTCTTTAGGTTATATTAAATCAAATCTCAGACATAATACCAATGCAGACATGATATTTAAAGGCCTTAGCAATATTTAGCAGGTAGTAGACAAATGATGAGTTTCCATTTCTTTTTCTTCTTCTCTTCTATAACTTTGTTTATTCCTCCTAAAAATGTTCTGCCTGTACATTATAAGCAGTTTGGTAGCTTTTTTAAAAAAAAAAAAACAAAACCTAGTAATTCTTAAAAGGACACCTATATTGACTCTTTATGCTATCAGCTTTCCAATATTACATTTGGTTTATGTTTAAAGCCATCTTTTCCCTTATTGGAGTTCTATTCGAAACTCAAACATTTTCCATTTAAGACTTGAGGCTGGCTTTCTGATGGCACTGTAAGCATTAATTAAAATGTTGGTTCCTCTCTGCAGTTTTGCATCTAAGAGCAGATGGGACAAGACCTTTAACTATGGCTTACTGCTGATT